TGTGCTGTTCTGAGACGGTTTATTGCATCCAGTACGTTTGTGACGCGCCTTCGAACGCGTTTTTTTTTTTGGCTCAAAAGTTGTCTTAACGTGTCTGCTACATGCTAACGCTTTCCTTACCGTGTCTGATACAGTTTCGAGGTTTACTGTGGTAAACGCCAAATGCAAGACGACAGCATTCCACCTGACGAGAAATCCGGCCCTGCTGCAGTGGTGGGAAATCTCCAGCATGTATTTGGCCCCCACTGGACCCTCCGACTTTCGACTGGTTGTAACAGATCGGTTTTACACCTCCGTGGTGCTTGCAATGCAACTGCTTACGATGTCTTTCTACATCGTTGGAACGATTATGATGAACAAGCAAGGCTTGTGCGAGGCCATCCTACCAGCAAAGCAGAAGAATGGCCGACGAGCGTCGAACGCAAGACGCTACAGGAAGTATTACAAGTCGTTGTTCCTAGGCCTTATTGATCTGGTAATTATCAATGCATTTATTGTCTTCAATTGCCGGCGGGTTAGAGATGGTGAACGAAAGCTATCACACGTGCAATATCTCAAACAGCTTCACCTGGAGTTGTGCCAGCTTCAACCTGAAGACTGGCAGCAGCTGCTACGCCACCGAGGGCTCCAGGCGACACGGACAAAAGCTCGAGAAGTCGCCAGACATGTGCCTGTTCAGACCGACGAGTGGCGTAAAGGGAGCGCCACACAAGCTCGGAAACGCCGTCAGCGCGCCTGTAAGGTGTGCTCAGTGCTCAAAGCCGATGGAGAGTTTCGTGGGGGTGAAACTACCTTCTTTTGCGGTGAATGCAGACTGAAAACGTCTTCTAAAAATGCTCTAGCAAAGCTCGAGTCTTCCTTTGCAACAAAGTGAAGCACTCCGTGAACGGTGTTCCAGCATCGTGCTTCGAGATCTGGCATAAACATTGGAAGAACGGCACATTGATCCCTCAGACACGGAACAAACGCAAGATTCGTGCCCGTAAGCCGAAGAGACCTACCGATGAGACTGCAGGTGATGCTGAGAACTCCGAGAAGTCGGGCGGTGAATCTGGAAGTGACGGATCATCAC